GAAACTCCAAATACGCCTCGCAGAAGAAACCCAGGAAATGCCTATCGCTGCAGCTGAATAAACAGAAGATTCAACTGCTTTCATTGATTCAACGTGACTAATAAACACACGACTACAGCAATATACGGTTTATCTGAGTTCTTATACTTAATAATGAAAATTATAATAATATCTATAATGCAATGCTAATCGACATTTTTTCACCTTTTTCACTGCTTAGAATACTATGAAATATGTTGCGTGCCTTATTCAGTGTAAGAAGCCACATCATCTCACAGAAGGATTTATTTCAAACACTCGGCTGATGTTTTGAAGTGAGTTTGGAGTAAAAACATGTTATTAAATGTGGTATTTTCACGTGCTTTCAGATGGAACAGCATTTACTACACAGAGCTGTAGTTCACTGAGAAGCTACGCAAACAGCTGTCATTATCGCGAACTATTTCTTTTATTTCATAATCGAACGATTATATAGTCTGCGATTTATTTATTTATTTTTTGCGTAGCTTGTCAGAGAACTACGGCTCTGTGTATTAAATGCCGCTCCATCTGAAAGCAGGTGATGGAGATTTACTACTAATCACAGAACCGGCTTTACTGACAAGATGTGCATGACAATCGCATTCGATTAATCATGCAGCCCTAGTTGCATCCCTAGTTATTTGTATGAGTGTAAGCCTGGTTTGTGTTCCTCTCATTAGATTGTGTTTGATTTCAAGAGTCAATATTTAGCATGTTTTGACTTCAACGTGGGAGTCATCTACGCTTTCCGTATACGCTTCCAGGCGAGACACTCAAGATAAACATCTGTTGTCCCAATTTGGATGCGTGACTGTTGTTTGAAAGAATGTTGAACCGCAGCTCCGCTTTAAGTTTTTCATGTTCATAAAACTAATTTTGAATGGCTGCCTTTGTGTTTCATCCGTAGATATCATGGACGCGTTCAGCACGAAGAGCCTGGCCCTGCAGGCCCAGAAGAAGCTCATGAGCAAGATGGCGACCAAGACGGTGGCCAGCCTCTTCATAGACGACACCAGCAGCGAGGTACTGGACGAGCTGTACCGGGTGACCAAAGAGTACACGCGCAACCGCAAGGAGGCCCAGAAGATCATCAAGAACCTCATTAAGATGGTGGTCAAGTTGGGCGTCCTCTACCGCAATGGCCAGTTCAACAACGAAGAGCTTGCGCTGGTTGAGCGCTTCCGGAAGAAGGTACACACGCTTGCGATGACAGCCGTCAGCTTCTACCAGATCGACTTCACGTTCGACCGCCGCGTCATGAGCAACCTGCTCAACGATTGCCGTGAACTGCTGCACCAGGCCATCAACAGGCACCTGACGGCGAAATCTCATGGCCGTATCAACCACGTCTTCAATCATTTCTCCGATTGCGAGTTCCTTGCGACGCTGTACGGACCTTCGGAAGTGTACCGTGGCCACTTGCAGAAGATCTGTGAAGGAGTCAACAAGATGCTGGATGACGGCAATCTTTGACCACGACCTGTTGTCTTTTTTTTTATGGAAATGCTAAATTTATTTGAACATTTTCTTTGTGTGTTTTAAATGGAGCTTAAGCTCGGAATATCTCGTGCCTTATTTGTGCATTGGACACTAAATCATCTGTCTTGAATGTACGTTTGTCCTTCCAATGGAACGTCTTTCTTCTTGACTCCTGTATTTTTAGAAATGGGGGTTAGAGGTGGTTTACAGCGCAAACCTAATGTGACCCAATACAAATCTGGCTCTTGTTCGTCCAAAGGTAATTTTAGAGAGCAGTTTGTTTAAGATCCACCATCAGAGGAAATGAAGGACCATTTGCAAACCTTTTTGATGCTGAGAGGGTATTTCAAGCACTGCAAATATGAAATGCACTGGGGGATATGTATGAAAGTTTTCATCTCTAATTTTAGGAAATGAGCCTGCAGCATCACCCTCTCGCTTCCCGAAAATAGATGCGTTCAATCCGCAACCCAAAAGGACTGTTTTTGGACATGTCTCTTGTTATTCATCTTCAGGTTGATGCTAAACTATTTGTAAACGATCACCCCTGTGATTTCTAAACTTGGTCATAAAGTGGTTTACGTTCATCTTATGTTTGTTTTTCCACTCCATATCGCCCCCCCTGCTGATGGGAGGTCTTTACTGCGATGCAGTTCCTTATCAAGGAATGAAGAATGTGCTAGAATGTCACTGTACTACCTTTCGGCGTGTCTATTTACTGTTTTAATGAAGGTTTTATATGTGTAAATACACGACTGAGCCGTTATTTCCCTGATACGTCATTTCTGATTGTTTTTGACTTGTGAACAAAGAATTCAACAACTTAAGTCTCAATGTCCCATTTCTGCCACCAGTTTATTTTAGCTCCAGCGGTTTTGACAGATTATTTTGTCTATTGTGCTGGGTGTATACAAGTTCAGATCTTACGACATCACCTCTGGGATGTCGGTTACCACGTGCTAGAATGTCACTGTACTACCTTTCGGCGTGTCTATTTACTGTTTTAATGAAGGTTTTATATGTGTAAATACACGACTGAGCCGTTATTTCCCTGATTCGTCATTTCTGATTGTTTTTGACTTATGTGAACAAAGAATTCAACAACTTAAAGTCTCAATGTCCCATTTCTGCCATCAGTTTATTTTAGCTCCAGCGGTTGTGACAGATTATTTTGTCTATTGTGCTGGGTGTATACAAGTTCAGATCTTACGACATCACCTCTGGGATGTCGGTTACCACAAAAACATTGCACAAGCTCCCAAAAAATGTGCATACAGAAATGCTTTTAGTAGAAGTCTATGAGGCAACCGTGTACTTGTCCCATAGACTTACATTGTATGTGCAAATCTGCCCACATGTTTTATGTTTGTACGTGTACCTGATTTTAACCTAGAATATTCCAAACTTGTCTTTTTTACAAATTGACATACTGAAAGAATCAGTTTGAGGCCTATATAAGGCTCTTATTGAACAGTTTAATGTGTCCTCCTGGCCTCAAAAACTTTATTTTACTGTATCTATGCACTTATTATTATTAATATTGTTGTTAGTTTTTTTTTTCTTTTTTTAAGTAAATAGCAGAGGGTTGTTTGAATTTATCTTGTCACTAGTTTTTTTTTTTTTTTTTTTAGGTAAAGCTCCAGCTTACAAATAAAGTATCAGCAATTTCAAGGGAAAAAAAGTGAAACTCTTGAGTAACTTTGACAGCGGTGAAAGCCATACCTCCTGATTATCCTAAAACCTCTCAGGGTTCAGTCTCGGATGCCTCTTACATGTTGTGTTTTGGGCCAATTTAAACCGATAAAGGACCGGATACCTTATTTTGCTTTGTGCAGATATCTGAGCATTAAGACTATCTTTCACATTACAACATGTTTTTAACTAGAATGTTAAAGGCTATTTTTGTTAATCACAAACAAGTCTTGTTAATGTACGTTGTTTTCTTTGTTTTCTAAAAATGATGTATATAAATGCAGTATTTGTGTGTGTGTCTATATATAAATGTGTCATTCTTAAGAGGCAAGTGTTCTGTTTTTATTTAATGAGAAATGCAGAACAATCTAGTGAAAGAGTCCAAGCAGTATTAGCATGTTTGTCATGGATTACAGTATGCTAATCTCTCTAGGCATGCTAGATTGTTTTTTCCAGAAATTACTTTTTCTAGATTCTTGTTTCCCTTACATGAATAGTGAGATTGCAGAATACATGTTTAACATTAACATAATACAGCATCTCCAACCCATTTGTTCTACAATATGACACATTTTGGGGTGAAATAATATTCAGGGGAAAAAAAGTTTTGATTGGATTGTGAAAAGTGGGTGTTACCAGAAGGGGCTTGCTCTGTATGACAGGTGGTTGGATGAATGTTTTAGTGATGGAAGCCAAAAAAGACAACCATTTCAGAGTTATTACATTTAAATGAAAGATTACAAAGGCTAGTATGTTTTTTTTTTCTTTTGGAATAGCATACACGGATTAATCTTTCACAACCAGGAACAAGTATTAAGAAAGTTTTAGTTGATTTAACTTTCACTAAAACGAATTCTGAATAGATTGATAGTTTTATGCTAAGAAATATGTACCTGGTGGAGACTTAAACCTGAATACACACCAACTCATGGGGACTCGTGTCACCGTGGGGACCTAAATTGAGGCCCCCATGAGGATACAAGCTTATAAATCATACAGAATAAGTTTTTTTGAGAATGCAAAAATGCACAAAGTTTTTTTGTAAGGGGTAGGTTTAGGTGTAGGGTGATAGAAAATACGGTTTGTACAGTAGAAAAACCATTACGCCTATGCAGAGTCCCCACAAGGATAGCAAACCAGACGTGTGTGTGTATGGCATCAATGTTTACAGTGTGGTATCAGTATAAAAATATAATCCTAATTCTCCCTGGGGTAGTCCCAAGCTTGAAACCAATCGCAGTGATGTTCACGGTTCTGACGAGAGCAAGACAATATAAAAATGTTAAAAACCTGTGAAAATGACACGCTGGTTTCATTTGCTATTCTTCTCACGGCTGTTTCGGTGTGTCGTTCTGACACAGCTTCTGTTCTCTATGCTGATGCTCGATCCCCCTCCGGCTGATACCTGAGACGTGACAGTTACCAGGGACTTAAGTTCTTAAACCTGGCAAGTTCTTTTGTTTTTTTTCCTCCTTCTTCGCTTTTCTCTCCTCTAGAGTGTCCTCTGGGGATCTAAAACCTGCTGTGTTTGTTTTTAGTTAAAAGCAAACGTGAATGTAAAGCAATTATTTATATAATAATAAATACATAGCCTATATAAAGAATTCATTGATATTCTGTACGGCTCTCAAGGTTATACTATCAGCGACATTACATTACGGATCCCCGCTGGGTGGGTTATATCACCTTGTTTGTCCTGATTTTTATTTATTAGAAGTGGAATTTTTGAGTTATTAATAGCTGGCGACAACGTCATGCATTGACCCGATCTCCGCAATGTCCCTTCACACCTAACCTGCAAAAACACACGGCTGCCTGTCAGTTGTCTTGGTAACCGCCACCAGAGATGTAGAAATGACCATCTGACCACAAGACAAAGACGAGAATCACATTAATAGCTCTTATTACAATCAGCTAGCAGAGGCTTGTAAAATCTGGTGCTTTGTCTTATCAAAATTCAGCACAGAAAATAGAAAACGAGCATAGCGTTGGTGCTTCATAGTGTAAGTGTCTGAGTTTAAACACACCACAGCTGTTGAACAGCATCTGCAGGCCATTAGTGTTATATAGTGTCGTCAGTCTTGACAGGTAACAGCACTTGTGCATCCAAACTGAATTTGAAATGAACAGCCGCGTTCAAGCGTTTTGCGCTATTTATGGCTCACACTCAGCGTGAGAGTGACGTCTCAAAGCACTGCGTTTGCTGCTACAGTGATGTGTCTGGTGTCAAACAGAAGGCCCTCTGACCAGCACTTTGGGAGCGTTAGCCCACAGAAGCTACGTCTACGATAACATCTTTGTGGCTGCTTTCAAGTCGTATATCCGTAAGGCTGAACAGTGACTTTTTAGTCATGTTGCTGTTGGCTGCAAGACCTAGTGCTATACACAAGATTTGTATTGCTTTTATTTAATTTATTTTTTCTTAAAGTGAAATTTCTGCACCATTAACTGCTGTTTTCAAATCAGCTTACTGTTCAGAATAGCATGCTAACATGCTACTAACACGATCCTTGGAGTATATAGTATGTACACAATATACAAAATTTTCTGTTTGCAATATTAAGTTTGCTGTGGCATCCAGCATACAAAAAAATGCACTGTGTGCAATGCTGTATCCCACAATGCAATGTCCTCAACTTGACCTTACCTTTTTCAATGTGATGAATGGACTGCAAACGATTAGATCCATATTTTCTAACATTATTATTTGATCAGACTGCCAAAAAACAAAAAGTGTACTTAAAAGTACAAAATAACCATATTTTATTCCAAGATGATAATTGGACACATTATATAAGATCTAATGAGGTCATGAGACAAAAATAAAACATACAATTGTTGCAGTTGTTTAATGTATGTTATATACAGTATAATTGGTATCTAGCAACATCAAAATCATGAGTAGTACTTTATAGTAAAATATAGTTGGGAGAAATGAGTAAGTAAATCCAGACCGAATGTAAGATCTTTTTTTGCTAATTGTACTTTAGTTTGGGTTGATATGAATCAGAGACTGTGTCAGGGGAAAAATTCCTGACCTTTCTCAGAGTGATCGTTCAGTTTATGTGGAAATGAGAAAAGAACTGAAACCTAAAGCAGCTGGGAATAACAATGGTAAACATTCGCATTTGTGACCTTTCAATCTTGGGTATGGAGAATACAAATGTTACCACGGGACTTCAATCTTAAAAATGTGTTAAATATATAGATTGACTTACCAATTAATTGCACTTTAATTTAATTGCAATTTTTCTATAGGTCATTATATAGCTAAACTGTTGTGGTTACTAAAACGTTTAAAGCATGCAATTGAAATGAAAACATGCAACTAATGTAGAATTGAAACTTCAGTATATGCACTTTCTGAGAACCCCTCCATACCAGATAAACCAGAAATAAACCAAAGACATGAAGAAGTATTTTCATGCTGCAGCATGCCAGGTTATTAATTTTAAAAGTCACATCCTCATGCGTTTTTTTAGGGACTAGCCCTGCCTGTGCTGCCCCATAAAGCACTAGAGGGGGAGTGTGCCTCCCCTGGCATCCTGCTATAAAATCCTGGGTGTAATTGTAGCGTACTGAGGCAGAACAGGAGTAATCAGATCAGTCCCGAGGCTGGGAACATACATGGACACACAGCATCAGCACTGGATTAAATCCCCCCTCCACGACCCCCCTCACTGATTGAGGTACGACGAGTTACTGCAAGTAGGTAAACGAGAGCGAGGGAGAGAGGAAAAGCCGTGAGAGGGAGTGGGAGGAAGAATGAACCAGAAAGGGAGGCAGCGCAGTGCGAGCGAGCGAGAGAGAGGGGATGGGGAGGTAGTCAAAGGCAGGAAGCAAGCAACAGCCAGTGGAACAGAAATGCAGGGAGTTTGAGGGAGAGGGTGGAAACCGGAGGCCCGCCGCCAACGAGAGGACGACGGGAGCAAAGTGAGGTAAGAGAGAAAGAAGGGCAAGGGTCCAGAGGAAGAAAACACACCGGGATAACATCTGCGGGAGGAAACAACACACCAGAAGGTGGGGGTCAGAGTCAAGAAACATACAAGAGAAAGTTTAAAGACGGGACAGATGAGAAAAACATCTCCTGGTAATGACAAGGCCGGGACACTTAAGGAAGGGACACGTCCTCTCGAGAGTCCCCTTCTTGGGCCGCAGAATGTTCTCCGAGACAAAAGGGGTCAGAGAGCCACGCATTCAACCCACCACTTCAAGCCAACTACAAAATGGAATACAAAGACCTCAAGCGGACATCCTTGCCTATTTTGGGACTGGGGAACACGGAACGAACACCTGTGGACCAAAGCAGCAGAATTCCCCCCTCAATGGATACACTGCCAAGAAACATTTAGATGTTCAGGGGGGTCATGCACAGCTAGACGTGACTGGTCAGATTTGTCAGACCAGTGTGCGGTGGAACCGGCCTCCAGGGAAGGGGCTGCAACATAACAGCGTCTCTGTGAACTACAGCTTGAGAGAATGCAGCTTTGTGGTCCACCGGCACCAGACTGAGCCACACCCCTTCTTGAGGAAGTGTGCTCTGGACGCGCCAACACAGTTCAGAGGTCATGGAAACTGTGGAGTGCCTGTTTGTGCAGCGGAGCAACAATCGGGCTCTGTGCAAGGGGCCCTGCTTACGGAACAACATGCAACGGACTGGATGGACTCAAGTGGTGTTCACAATTCGACCTTTAATAAGGATGCAGAACTTTGCTCTTCTAACAGACAGGGAACTTTACGTAGATGCCTGGGACCTATAATGCAAGACTTAAACGGACCTTGTCTGGCAAATGAAGTTATGCTGTCCACCAAAGATGTCAACAAGACCAATTCTAACTACATTAAGTGTCAAGCAAAGGTCGTCCAAGGGGATCTCAATGTACCTGGAAGAGGGTCTTACGCTTTCAGCTCGCAGTCGGAGAGAGCTATTCGGGACCAGATCCAAAGAGTTGTTGTGAATCTTGAGGAGGTTCTACATGGCCTGAAAGAGATACATCTGGAAATGAAGGAGGTAAAGGTTTATTTATCACTTGGGGATGTTAACAGATGTTCCTCATAATGAGTTCAACAAAGGGCGGCATTTAAATGTTCTGTTTAGTTAAATCCCAAACTCTTTACTATCCATCAGCTGCCAGATACTCTTAATGGTCGTACTTTACATAACACACGGGCCATGAATTTTGTTTTAATATTAATCTTAATATCAATAATGAATACTGTTTATAGAGACCCCTGAATTTATTGCACACTGGGCAATTTCACTTCTATGAGGGGATAGTGAAACTTTAATGCAGAGAGGATTGGTCTGATCCACTCCATTTAGCAAATGTATTCAACGTTGGAGAGGAACGTTGGCCGGTGGTTTATAGTCCCCTT